TTGGTGATGGAATGTAGGTTGGAAGGCCTGAGGGGTGGGACACAGGTGGGCCAAAAGGGCAGAAAGGACTTTTGGGATGGGCTTATCACTTCTCTGGGATGGGCCATCTCCAAATCTGTTGGGGGCTGTTCATTAACACTTCTTTGAGGTGGACTTTGGCCTAGGGCCTTTTCGGGACTTCACTAACATTCCATGAATCGTTCTGCGTTTTCCCTGAGTCACTCCCAGCATGGCCTCCATCTTAGATTTCACTCGATATTAGACCCGATTTACCTAACTACACTGACTACCTAACTTTAAATCTGGCTTCATTGCCATGTGATGTCTCTGCCATGTTAAGATGCGGGATGGTCCATGACAGATACCAAGCAGATGCCAGCACCATGTTCCTGGACTCCCTGGTCTCTAGACCCTTAAACCCAATAAGCCTCTAATGTTTTATAAATAACCCAGTCTGTGGTATTCATTCACAGCAACAGAAAACGGACTAAGACAAAGGTCTTCCTGAGGATACCCTGACCTCCACGGGCCTCTGATTCTACAGACAGATGGTTGGGGCCCAGTCTAGGCCTAGGGAGGACCTTGCAGCTGGACAAAGAGGTGTCCAGTGGTGGTCAGTTGGAGTATTCAACCTACCCCCACAGCACTCAGGTCATAACAGAAGTAGTTCAAAAACATTTTAATGCCACAGAGAAATCTGAAACCTGCAGAAAGCTGCAGCCATCCTCCTGGGTGCCTGGAGCTAAGGCTGTCCCAGGGAAGGACCTCAGCAAGCAGGAGGCCAGCACAAGCCAAGGAACCATGGGGTGGGGGGAGTCAAGGAGACTGTGGCTATCCTTTTCTCCTCTGCCCTAAATGCCCCCAGGTTCCTTTTAGGGTCAAAGAAAGAAAAGAGGAAGTGGAAAGGAGTGGGAGGAGGGTGGGTCTCTCCAGGACACTCTGCCTGCTCAGGGCTGGTGACTCAGTGCGCCCTGGGAGGGAGAATCCCTCAGGCCAAACAGGGCAGGCCAGGCCTGGGTCTGCAGAAGGAGCCCACAGAGATGCTCCACGCACTGGCCAAGCTGGAAGGGGAGACAGGCTTCCTCCCCCACAGTCTCCAGCCACCACCCCCCATGTACTTCGAGGTGGCCCCATCTTGACATCCGCATCACTTTGGGCTTTTCTTCAGCACAACATTGTCATACTCAGTTTCCTGTGGCCAGCCAGAGACAGACAAGTCCTGCTGCAGGATGCTGGGGCCCCTTTCCACAGTGGCCTTCCTTCTCCACCCCTCACCCTGGGGCTCCTGCGGACTGTCATACAGAGACAGGGAGGCCATGCCCTCAGGCTCATCATATATGTGGTCAGGTGGAGGGGCTGAGGGCTCCTCGTACAGAGGGTCAGCCAGGAGCAGGGGAGGGCCTGCCAGCATGGCCCTGAAGCTCTTCCCCAGGTTGAGGTTGCGGGCTACTGCATCAAAGGGCAGAGCATATTCCCCCTCGGAGCGCGCCGCAGGCACCAGCGTGCTGGGTGAAGGTGGTGGCAGTGAGTCGTGGGGCCGGGAGTAGGGGCTCTCCGGCCGGGGCAGCACAGTGGGCACTGTGGACACTGTGGCTGGTGGGGGTGGGGGCCCAGGAGGGGCAGCATCCTTCTGGGCAGCAATGGCCTCTTCCAGGGCCAAGAAGATCTCGTTGCCTTGCCGGGTTTCAAACTCAAAGTTGCCCTCTCCAGAGACACAGCGCCGGCCCGCCTCAAAGGAAAAGGTGGTCTGCAGCCAGGAAAAAGGCACTGTTGCTTTCCTGGACTCCCCCCACCCCAATACAGACCCTGTGCCCCCAGCTTCCGTCCGCCAGGAATGGCCAGAGCCCTCTCCCTGAGCTCCTTGCTCCTCTTCCCTCAGTTTCTTCCTCATAAGCCAAACGCCCCCCATCCTCTCTCCCACCCTCTGCCTCCCTCCGCTGAGCACGCAGCTGGGTTGCAGTCCTCCTGGAGAGGATGCAGGAGCACTCCACGCCCTCGCCTGCCGCCCCCTCTCTCCCCTCGCCTGGTCCTTCCCCATGGCCTCCCTCATCCCTCCTCGGCCACCTCTGCTGATTCTCTCCTGTGGACCTTGCTGCCTGCCTTCCTTCCTCCTCCCTCTCCATTTTCTCTTGCACTAATGCGCCTCTGATCACCTTCCTTCTTTCCTGGCTCATCCTCTCAACCTGCCCCAGTGCAGTCCCTCACTCACCTTGTCCCGCCCAAAGCGTCGCAGGAACCTGTAGGGCCAGTCGTACAGCTGGGTGCCTGGATCAGGGCCACTCCACAGCTCCAGAGCACTCACCCCCAACCGGAGCGTGTAAGGTCCTCGGAGCCGGCACCGCTCACTGGCTTCTGTGGGTCTCACGGTAACAGCAAATTCCTTGAGGGAGACCCCTGAAGAGGGGAGGAGAAAGAAGGCAGCTAAGAGAAGCAGCTGGCAGCCCACGCTGCCCGGGTCTAAGGGGATGTGCCAGAGGTCTCTAAAAACTACATCCACGTGCTTGTGATTCCAGCCCCGATCTTGAAAGCTGGCTGCTGGGTGCCAGGGGACCTCCCCTCACTCAAATACCAGGCCCCCCCACTCCCTACCACAGAAGGCCTCATGCCCTCAGACCTCACCCAACCTTGGGCCCACATCCTTCCTGCCACTGTTGCCGGAGCCACAGCCTGGGCTTCTCCACCATCTCTCACCCTGAACCAGCAGCACCCCAAGTCTGCGCTGTCACAGCTGCTGGTGAAGCAGGCCCACACCCTCCCATGTGCTTCCCACGGGCAGAGCTTCGATGGAAGGCAGCCCACCAGCTCCCTCAGTGTCCACCAGCTCACTCCACCCCAGACCCAGGGCACAGAGACAGTGAGCAGAGCAGGACTGCCTGGTCACCAAGGAGCTCCCGGTCCCAGGACACCTTGCACAGCCAAGCCTGAGACAAAGCCATTCTTTTTTTCAGACAATTGCTAAGGTCCCAGCAAGTATCCTGACCTGGGCCTCCAGCTTGCCCTTTCCCACCATCAGGGGCCAGGCAAGCTGTGGTGAGCCGCCCCGGGCTCCCCCATCTCAGGCCACACCGGAAGTCAGCATGATAAGGGGGCCAGCTGGGTGCAGGGCAACCACAGGCAGGAAGAGTTGGCCGCCATCGGCTACACCTCCTCCCAACCATGCCCCGGGAGCCCACCCTGCAGCCCACCCCTCACCTGAGGTCGAGCTGCCGTACAGTTCATTCTCCTCCATGCAGGGCCTGCCACTCTTCCCCTCCAGCCCTGAGGGCTCCTTCCTCCGCCCCTGGGGAGAAGTTTCAGGTCTTACAACCAACACCATCCCAAGGCCCTCTTTGGCCCAGGCTTTCTTTCAGGGCATGCCCAGTCTGCTAGCCCTCTCCACCCTCTGGATTGGGATCCACCCTTAAGGAAGTGCCCCAGCATTCTGACCTTGGCGCTTCTACCACCTTCCCACAGGAAGTATCTAATGCTCCTCTATGCTTATAGCCCTTTCTGCACCCCCAAATGACTCACGGGGAAGGCCAAGAGACAAATGGCTTGCATCCAGTCACCACGCTCAGCGGTAGGGGCTGCCAGCAGGTACAGACGCTCCTTGGTCTCCAGAATGAAGGCACTGGTGTCCCGAGGGCTGCTGGCCTCCCCACCTGCCTCAGCCACCCGCAGGCAGTCACTGAGGCGGATGACCCTCCGGCTGGCCTCTCCCCGACGAAGCTTCTCTGAGCCCTCCTGGAGCTCTAGCCGTGCCAGGGCGCAGCCTGACTCTCCATACAGCACAGCTCCAAACCGGCGCCACTTCTGAACCCAGGTGTGGGAGGCAGAGAACCAAAGGAGTTGGAGAAGGAGAGGTGGTGATCAAAGGGGGAAGAGGAACCACGGGAGAGGGACTGCAGCAGCAATTTGGGGACAGGGAGAGGGAACATTCCCAAGAGATCAGAGGAAGCACAGAAGGCAAAAGGGCTCACAGGGTAGAACGCTGGAGATCAGCCTCCAGCAACCAAGACTTTTAGGCCTGCAAGGTGGTGAGCAGGGATGGCTGAGGGCATCCAGGAGCATGGGAATGAGCTCCATGGCTGCAGACTGCAGGAAGGCAGGTGGCAGGCCAACCCTGCAGGGGCTGATGGAAGGAAGAAGAGCCCGAGTCTGGACAGAGTAGGAGGGCGGGCAGTGAGGGCCCAGACCACAGCGTCCTCATCCTGTGGGAAGTCCTGAGGAAGGGCCTGGCTCAGGAACGTCCCTCCTCCCTCCTGAACCTTTCTGCCTCACCACTTGACAGGGTGACCAGCCATGAGAGAGAGAGAGAGAGAAGTGCCTGGGTGGGGGTCAGTGAGGAAAGAGGACTTCCTCATTCAGGAGGCCAGGGAGAAGGAGGACATTGAACAAACCGGAGCCCCAGGTCCCAGGGGTCCCAGCCCAAGCTTAATGCTAGCCACACACACCCCACCTGGGTAAAAAAGGGGGAAGGAAGCTCCACTGTCATCCTCAATTGTCCCCCACAAGTTGTCCCCACAAGAAGTTCAACAGAACAAGAGAGATTAAGTCATCACCCTCCTTCCTCCCCACCCCCAACCTATAACCCTCAGCAAAGAGCACAGTTTGGGGACTGATCGGAGGCCTGGTTTGGAAGGCAAGTCAGGTGAGAAAGGAACCCTCCCGGGGCAGAGCTCTCATCTGTCCTGGTGGACAGCGAGGTTCCACAGGAGTTTGGAGACACTGAACTCCCCCCACCCCCGGAATTTCTAGCAGCTCCTACTCTGCCTCGCCCTGGCCCAGCCTGGTGCCCACCTTGCCAAAAGTCTGCTGCTGCTGAAGGTGCAGGAAGCCCTGCTTTACCGCCACCTCTTCCATCCTGACCATCGCCGCCCGGGCTCCCGCCCTCGCTCCTCTCTCTTCTTGGCCTGTGTTCCCCCTTCTCTCAAGTTCATTTCCTCTCTGCCTAGAGCTTTCTGCACTATTCTAGTCTGCGCGATGACGAGGAGCTGATAGGCCCTGCGGTTTCTTGCTCCGTATGTGGTTTTCTTCTTTTTTTTTTTTTCTTCTGATGAGAGAGTTTCATGCTCAAGCTTCCTGCATTTCCAGTGAGTAACACACAATTTCCAAAAAGCTAAATTTCAGCTCCTCAGTGAGCAACAAGTCAGGTAAGGAAACTAGCATGGGGAGTGGCTGACCCCCAGGAATAGAGACACAGAAAGAAAATCACAGTAAAAACAAGAGCAGAAGACCCTGGCTCAGGCTGGGTGCTGAGCATGACCGAGCGGGAAGAGACCTGAGGAATCAACCATCACAACCTCCTAATTGAAAAGGGAGGAAACAGACTTGGAAAGGTCTGAGGGACTCCTTCAAGGCCACCAAACCAGAACCCAAGGTCTCTGGACTCAGATAGCTGAATCACACACTGCATTCCACACTTAGACTTGACTGCCCCAAACTGCACCTTAGTCGGACAACACTTTTATAAACACACCAATGCACCTGTTCTTCTACATGGGAGCATTCCCTGCTGCCAACAATACCACACATCCCCCTGTGAAGATTCTAGAAATATCAACTTCCCCTCTGGAGAAGAGACTTATTCCCCAGATACATCTCAACCACTAGATTTCACCTTCTTGCTAGCCCTAGTGAGCATTAGAAAGACACTTGGGTTTCATCTGAAACTTAAATTCCAGCAGCTTCATACTTTCCAAAGCTTCCAAGTACACTCTTTCACCAGCCAGCCAATGTCCCTTGACAAAGGCAGGGCAGGCACAAACTCAGCTAGGGCTGGGGCTGGGGCTGGGGCTGGGGCTGGGGGTTGGGGGAGGAAGTCAAGCCCAGGGCTACAGATCTCTAATGCGCTATTTTGCCAGGCCCCAAAGTGGAATCCAGACTCCATGAAAGAAGATACATGGCTTTGGGGAAAGCCAAGCTCCACAAGAAATTCACCTTAGAACCAGATGGCTTGAAGAAGCAATCTGGATGGAGGCACAGTGCAAAACTGTTGGGGGAAACTGTGAATTAGACAAATGCTCATGGGGTCAATCCCATAAAGGTGCTTATATAACTGCATCCATACACTACCACAGGGGTTCAGGTGCCCTGGTGAGGAGAGCGGTGCATAACTCAGGCCTTCTGTCGTACATACCATGTGATCAAAACAACTTACAGAGGTGAATGGGCTGGCTCTGGGGGCTGGGCCATTCCATCTCCCTGCCCTCAGCCCAGGGTTTGAAAAGGTTGATCTAAAGCCCAAAGGAGAACCATTAATGTTGTCCTGGATAAAGCATACACTTGGAAGTGGCTAGGAGAACACATTTAGGATGTGGCCTATTGTGTCTCTAGAATACCTAAGGAGAGTCAGCCCTGCCTTGAAGTTAGTGGGGTAAGAGGATTTAGGGTCATATTTTAGGGACTGCCAGAGAATGCCCTTCAGACTTTAGTGTGCAAATCTTGCTAAAAGTGCAAAGGGTGATAAAGCAAGTCTGAAGTCAGTTCCCAGTTCCGAGATGTTGACACTCCTGGTGGGTGGGCCAGGCTATAAGGCAGCAAGGCTGTAGAGGATGTTCCTCCCATCACACTGCTCTCTTTCCCCAGAGGTAAGTGGGACACATTTCACTCAGAACCACAGGGGGGCGCCCAAATTTATCAGATTCCTTGGAAACTGTTTAAACCTGAAGGCCTCAGCCCCAGGTAATCCAGACACCCCCATCCCATCCCAGGCCTATGGAAGCTGGAGAAATCCTCCTTCTCCAGCCTCACTCTGAAGAAAGTAACAGGACTGTACTAAGAGCAACACACCTGTTGTCTGTCAAGTTCAACTTCACCTACGCACTTACTCCAGTAGCTTCTGCCTAGCCTCTGGGGGTAACCTGTGAACAGGGGCTGACACCTCCCCTCCCAGGCACAGAAGAGATGAAAAGAATTAGACAAACTTTAGTACCCCAGGCACCACCGAAGGGAAGAAAAAAGTATCAGAGATCAAAGGATCCCAAGGGTCTATATTGAGGCACAGGTGTGTTTGGGGTGGCACCTGGCTTTTGCTTTCACTGGAAAGGGAGGGTCTATAATAGAGGCACCCCTCAATTATAGGCCACTGAGACCCTTTCCTTCACAATGTTTTTTCTCAGCTGGAGTGAAGAGACACAAGAGCTCCAAGAACTTTGCAACTTTTTGTTACTATCCTACAGAGATTAGCAACCAAATATTTAACACAAAGGAGTTTGTAAACTTTCCTTTGGGGGCAACAGAGGAAGGAACAGGAGAAACTATATCTGACTATTTGTACAAGCTTGGGGGTTAGTAACCTCAAATGATGTTACAGGTGGGAGCAACTACATAAGAGGCAGCTCTGGGCATACAACAGGAGCACAGGTATAAAGTAAGCAAGAGAGATGACAAGGGGCTGGAAAGGACAAAGGACTGGACAAAGAAATAAGTGAGCAGAGATTCTGAAAGATCTCATCCCTGCCTCCCCCATGCCCAGTGGATCCTGGCTGAGGGGAGGAGGAGGACAATACCAGTCTCCAAGTTTCATTCCTAGACTATCCTTTCTCCATTAAGTACGTTATTTGTCCTATCACAGAGGTCCTTCCTTATCTACAATTTCAAAAATCACAGTCCAAAAATATTAAATAGATAATACCCAAAACAAACAATTAAGTAACTTAAGTAACTTATATTGCTCTCTATCACCTATTGTTGGTAATCAATTAATGTGCCTACTTTGTAAATGACTTTAGCATAGATGTATATAGGAAAGATATAGCATTCATAGGGTTTGGTACTATCTGCAGTTTCAGGCACCCATTGGGGATCTTGAAATGTATCTCCTGTAGATAAGGGGGAAATAGTGTACTAAAAGCACCCAGTTCATGAAATTTTCTGAGTAAAGGACTATAATAGAACAGAATTGCAGAATTGCAGCTGTAAGAAGGCTAGAATGATCAGAGTATTATGAGCAAGCAGAGACACTGAAGAGGTGAATTCATATCATGTGGCTTCTTGGGCCACAGCAAGGATTTGGATTCTAAATTCAATGGGAAGCCACTGAGGGACTGTAAGTAATGGTGTAAATTATCTGTTATAATTTTAAGTCTGCAGCTGTATAAAAAATGAATTATCAAGGAGGAAGACAGAAAGTACAAAATCTAGTTATAAATCTAATATCTGAGCTAAGAGAAATGGTGGCTAGGACCAGGGTATTAGCAGTAAGTAGAAATAGAGAAGTGGCCAGATTGGGGCATAAATTAGGTAAAGACTCAGCAAGAATTGCAGGTGGATTTGGATATAGGGTACTAATGAGAAAGAAACTAAGATAACTCCTGGGTGCTTATTTTGAGCAATTGGCTGATGGATGGCGGTACCATTTTGATAAAGGGAAGAGAAAGAGAAAAATAACTGTATGGGTGGGGAGCAATTAGGGGAAAGACACAAATCTGAGCCAGGAAGCTGTAACCTCTCCCCAATCAGTCAAGGAGGGAATCCAAAGATGACCACTGAAATAAGAATTCCAAGAATATACCACCTTAGTGTAACTCAAGGCTAGGAGGCCCCTGACCCTCCACAATCCCTGCTTCTTTACACTCATAGTGCTTAAGGGGGGGCGGGGCTGGAATACAACAAGTATAGAAACCAAGAGATGTTAGGCGCATTGGGCTCCCCAGAAATGAGTCTAAAGCTCTGCCTCACTTATGCCTCCTAAATCTTTTCTGAGTCTCACTGACTGAGCCAATCTTGCATACAGAACCTTTGCTACAAAGGAGTCTGGGTAATGTAGTTTTTACACGTCCTACCTTTGTGAATCAGGAAGACACACTAGGAGAATCAAGAGCACCATACCACTATATACGAACATAAAAGGTGTGTAATTTACTACCACCGTAATTTGGATTATACATAGTAGCACCCAGTAAATCACAGACTTCAAATAACCAACGCTCTGGAAATCTACTTAAGATCGAATGTGGGGGCGAGGGGAGATCTAAAGTAGGGGCATTGAATAGAAACTAGAGTAGAATCCAGTGTTAAAGAAGAACTTGCTTATCTAACACAGGTAACTCATAATGGGAAAAGCAGGAATTGGAATTAGCTGTCCTACCAACCTGAGCCCAGGGGTCCTAATGACCACCAGCAGCACCCCTCCCAGCATCTGACCCCTTTGAGAAGGTAGCCTAGAGTACTGGTTAAGATAGAAATCGGTTTCAGGAGATTAAGACAGTGCCTTCTGTGTGTTTTGATCATCACCACTATTTGGAAGCTATTTCCATGACTGCTTATGCAGGCAAAAACGACAGAAATGAAAACAAGGAAATCACTACTAGGTCGCTGGTAAAATCTGATCAGAGGGCAATGGCCCCGAACAGAAAACCAGAAAACTACAAACATAAATCCAACTGTGAAAACAGTGTATTGGAGAATAATGAACAGTGCAGGTATGTGGGGATGCGTCGGCCCCGCGCACCACCGAAGCCCCCCGGGGGGTTAACAGTAGGTGCGCTGCCGGATTGCTGTTGCTGTTGGCAGCGGTGGTGATGGTGGCGGTGTCGTCCCAGGGGCAAGTCAAGGGGAAAGACACGTGGGCAGAGGGGAATACCCAGGGAGCAGGGGTTCCAGGTGGGGACGACCCCGGCCCCCATCCGGGAGCCCTCACCGCGCACAGAAGCAAAAGGCTGCGCCACCTCCTACGCCAGCGCCCGCCCGCCGGAACGAGCGCGGCCCCTTTAAAACCCATGTAAACAAAGCTTTGTTCCCCCAGCTCCCCTCCCTCGCGCTCCCCGGGCCCGCTCCTTCC